CAACTTGGACATATGCTTTAAACTCTCCTCCTGAACTTAGATCTAATTAGTGCAGTTATGCCTTCAGCTACTGCATTTCTCCATGATGAATTGCTGCACTGTATGGTTTTCCTAAAACACAAGTTTTTATCATGGTTTTAGCATTTAGTAAATCAACCCAGGCTTCCCAGGCTCTATTATCTGTTTATAAAAGGACACTACAAAACAAAATATTCCATTAGTGAAGTAATTATTAAGGACAAAACAGCACTATTCAAGCTTATTTTTTTAGAGGAGTATTTTAAGATGGTGCTGTAAGTCCATTTTTTTTTTCCAATTAGAGAAACTGGGAAAATGAACAGTAAGAAAACAGTAATAACTAACCAATTTTAAATAAAAGTGTTAAAAGCAAATCTATAATTTTAATACCACATTCAATCACTTATGCATGTGACTGGCATGACATTATTTGTATAATGTAGAAAATAAAGGAGTGTGGTGGAAATCTCCTCCAAATAACTAAGACTTTATCCCCTCCCCTACAGGACTCAAAAAACAAAACAAAACAAAAAGACTCTGGTAGTTTAAACTGTTAGCTATGTAAAACAAAGGGTAAAAGATGGTGCCAGATATATAAAAAAAAAATTGCTCTAGGCAACTGGAACTGAGAGAATCATCACTGATCAATGATTGGAAAGGGATGAATGATGGCAGCCCTGAAGGACAAGTGTGAGGAAGCAGCAAAAGGCAAAGTAAAAGGAATGGAGATGGCCCACACCCCACTGCTCCACTGCCCCCTCTGATTAGAATTTGGTTTTGATGCACATTTTCAAGCAGGATGAAACTATAAATGCCTGTGATAAAATGCATGCCTCGCTGTGAGTGAGGCTGATGGAAGTTTCCTCACACCTCCTCTTTCCTTCTCCTGCCTGTAGGAGCACCTAAGCCCCACTCCAGTGGCCACTCAGTGCCCACTGTCTTACAGCTTGCGACTTGGACTGCCCTTCTGAATGTGAGTACCATGAAATGTACTCAATATTTTCTACTAATATAAATGCACGGACTACATATAGGAACCCCTATGCAAAAAAAAAAAAAAAAAAGTAAGGATATTCATTCACTCTAAGGCACATAAATTATATTTCAAAATGATTAGTGCCTGAGTTCCTTAAAATAAATTAGGATGACATATCCTAATTAACTTCAAATTTAATAGGGGCTTTTGTCAATGCAAATAACCTTCTGGTATTAAACCCATCACAAAATCATTCCTAGAGAATTGCAGTTACAATTAAAAATACATCATAAATCATATTTCCATCATTGCTTCATCACCTGATATAATTAAAATATATAGATATTTTTATTCCTACTAAAAGTTATTAAATATTTGATTAATGATTTAGTATGATTAATATTAAAATATCCACATATTTTAATTGTTCTTGATGTAATCAATGTTTACTTTAAAATGTAAAAACAATTGTTAAACATGTAACAGGAAAAAGTGATATTTTTGTGAATGATTATCAAATGTTTGATATTTACTTTAACATGAAATAATTAGTAAGATTTTTTATTCTATAGGGCAAACTAGAATCCTAAACATTAGTTGTTATACTTTCTTAACCTGCTTCTTATTTCACACTTTAGCTAGAATTATCATCAATTTACATTTTAACTTATTCAGCAAATATTGATTTATTGCTATGTACCAATCACCATTGTAGCTGCTTGGAAAACATTTATAAACTGAAGAAGCTGAAAGTACCTGTCCTATTGAAGCTTACATTCCAGCAGTGGAGAGGAAGAGAATAAATGTCATAATTAAGTTAGATTTACACAGGGGGTTACAAGAAGATGAGCAGGGAGGGCTAAGGACTTGCGGGCAGGTAAGTGGGCTTTACTGTGATGTTTTCCTCCACAGACAGCAAATGCAAACCGTGAGGAAACTTGAAGCATCGGAGGCGTTAATGAGAGAAGTAGTAACTCAGTCTGGTGTGTTCTAGTGCAGATGGAGATCAGTGGTCAGATACCAGGTGTCTTTCAAAGGAAGACAAAGCACGGCATTTGGAGGTACAGTGTCAGAGAAGGAGAAGAATCAGTGACAGCTCAACAATGTGGGCCTGGGTGATGGAAAATTGAAGCTATCCCCAGCACAGACATTGAATGGAATATGTTTTGGGAAAAATAATGAAAATTTGAATTTTAAACATTTTGTATTTAAATAGCAGGAGGTGATTTAATAAGCAGTAGTGATGTTTGGGGCTGTTCTAAAGATATTTTAAGAGCCCTTGAAAATGATGCCAGAAAGAACAAACAAGGGAGAGTTGCTAGAAAAGTGAAAAGGACTAAGGATCTCCTGGCCAGTTCCACGTTTAGAGATGGGGGAGAATCGGAGCCATCCACTGAGACCAAGAGACGGGGGGTGGCCCAGGAAAAAAGAACAATTGATGCTGCAGAGTGGTGAATAAGTGAGCTGGGGGGAAATGTATTGCTAGGAAATTGTAATTTTTGTTTTAAAATGTGGGCAAAATTTCTTTATAAAGATTTAATTGTAAGATATTGCAGATGTTGTAAAGATACACATATGGCCTTAGAAACACAAAGCCATTACCTTTTTCTGTTAGCTGTAATTTTTCACTGAGACTGGAGATCATCTGAGGTTGTAGCAGGGACAGAGTGCTCACAGTCTAAGGGTAAAATGAAGATGTGAGGTATATGTTGACCGGGATGTTCTTTAAGTGCCCTTCAGCTTGACTAAACTTTGGACTTGCTTCCTCCTATTGACTGTTGGTTTTGATCTTATTCTTACAGTACTGACTTCTGGGGGGAAAAAGCTGCAATTCTAATTTCTTGCTCTTTCCCCTTGAGATGTAAAGATGTAAATCCCCCCTCCCTGCCTCTTTCCTGTTTATAAACCAGGAGTGTTGTTCAGAAAGACCTAGAAGCCAGTCCTTCCAAATGTAATCATCAGAGAGATAGAGCCCTTATCTCATTCTCTGGGAGAGAGCAGGAATTAGACTCAACCCTTCTAATCACACTGAAAACCCCCCTCTCTAATGGCCTCCAGTCTTCCCTCTACCTCCACCCAGTGCTTAGGCACTCTCTGCTTTAGGGGAAAATTGTGATTTTCCTTTTGTGGAAGGGATTCTCTCTCATATTGCACCAGTCTGTTCTGCCTGTATAACTTGTCCCTTTAATTTTTTATTTAAGGACATCTAGAAAACTCAGATAAAAGGAATGAGGTAACTACATAATGGTTTGCTGGCAGCACTGAAGAATTCATGAGATTACAGGAAAAAGAGAAAGGAGACATTAGGGAGAAGCGAGGGGATCAGGGGCAGGAAGGGTGGGAGAGGGACTAGGAAGTTAAATTGATCACTTTCCATTTCTCTATGTGTATGTATGAATATGCCACAGTGAATTCCCCCCGCCATTATGTATAATTAATATGCACCAATAAAAAATTTAAAAAATAACTCACGAGGATCTGATTTTCTTTTCTTTCTTTTTTTTTTTTTACACTCATGAACTTAGGTAGAATCAAATAATGGCATGGTATGGCACACTTTCTTCCTATCATGTCCTACTAAGACAGTTTTCCAGGTGCGAAGTTGGTGAACATTTTAATTTATCTGGACATTGATTAAAAGAAAAAAAGTGGCTTTTTTTCTTCCCAAGAAAAAATGTAGAAAAATGAAAGGTAAAAAAGTTTGGGAACAAGGGAAAGGAAACTGGCAAATAGACAAGGGGCTGTGGAAACATGGCTGGCTCTACCCCAACCGGGTCTGAAGGACACTGGAATCAGAACTTTAGAGAAGAGCAGGAGACCCTACGGAGCAGATGTGCAGTGGTTCCCTCCAGACCAAGGCACCTGTAGAGACTTGACTATCTGCTGCAGAACAGAGGCCAAGGACAAGGGTATTGGAGGAGATACATGATCAAAGACCCCAGGTCTTACGTGAAGAAGCATCTGTGCAGATATTTAAATTGAGAATTCAGAAGTGAGTAGATATTCAGAACAGCAAAGGGTAACAGTGAGTAAAGACCCACATATGAGAGGTGTGGTGTCTGGGTTGCAGTTGCAGTGAGAGGTAGCAGCAGATACCACCTAACCATAGGAGATTTAAAACCCAGCATTAGAGAGGAGATCTGGCCAGCAATGCCAGGGTGAGGGGAGTGATCTGGGAAGACAAGAAGAGAACAAAATTATCTATCCTACCTGTAGGCCTGAAAGAGGTGAGGGGAAAAAAAATAGCCACTAATCCTCCTAAACAACTAATCCAACTTCACTAAACTAATCCTCCTATACAACAATCACCTACTTCAACATTTACACACACACACACACACACACACACACCACACACACACACACACACACACACAAAAGAAGAAATGCAAAAAAGCAAAAAAGAAACCCCAAAAGGCCATTTTCCCATTGTCTATAGAATGCTCTTACAATTTTTAAAATTCCACCATCAGTTAATAAGTGATAAGACTTTTCATGGCATAAGTTTGTGAGACATTTCTGGTGTTCTGTCTTAGGCTTTTTGTCTGTTTTCAACTAAGAATCTTGAATCTGAACTTGACCTTCCTGGAGGGCATCTCACTTCCTGGTAAATCACTGAGACCCTGCCAACAAAAGAGATCAACCTGATATGACAGGCATTATTTCCAAGACAGTAATCTGAAAATTTTCCCATGAACTTGCTAACCAAAATAAAATGGGATTAGCATTTTCCTCTTCAGTTGAAGACGTAATAGCATAGGAACATTCTATTCATATATTCCCCCCATATGTACATGTGAAACCACGGACCTAGATTTGAAATATGAGCCTTATTCAGATTAATGCTTGCTGGCCAATCATCATCAAGTCTTTGTACACATTTTTACTATAAAATATTCTAGCTATTTAGCAACATAGTTTATTTTTTAAATGTAATTTTTGTTAGCTAGCCATAGTGTTCATGTGCATGAACTTTCAAGGTGATCAGTGGTTTTAACTAACTTACCTTGTGTCTGAAAATAGTGTCTTCCATGGTGCCAAAGGAAGTCGGAGAATTCTTTCCATTAACTGGAAGAATAATGAAGTTTTTCACTGGATGCCAAAACAGATAGCAAATAGAGTTGTTGTCAGGATCCCTGAAGCTTCATGATGTTCCTATCTATGCTGCCCAGCCTTGGAATTGAACTCTGTTTTCTCCAAGTTCCTTTGGTGACACTCATCTCCTTTCCCACTTAAACCAAGAAGGGGAAGGGCATCCTGGCACTAATTCCTAGTCGTGCTTTGTCATGGCCTCTGTTTCCCTGGCACCATGTACCGTGGCAACCAAGTATTCATGGATTGGAAGACAACCTTGCTCATAATGTCAACCTGAAGTAACAGTGAAGCTTCAAGGATGAAGTCAGAATCGTAAGAGCTGTAGATTGCACTCAGTAGTACATTTTTACTAGTGATTCAAAGGATCCAAGCAACCACCTGGCACAAACCATTCTTTCCTTTCAGTGGTCTGAGACCATCAAACGCGGCTCCCAACATCCACCTTTTCCTACATTAAGATAAAACGTGAAGTTGGAGTACTGCATGAGGATGCTTGAATAATGTAGAATAAAAAACTTTAATTCTAGATCTTCATGTAATGTCATAAAACACACCATTTACAAACATTCTTCCGTTAGTTAAAACTGCAAAAATTCATGCATATTGCTAATAGCATTTTTCTGTTAAAGAATATTTCCATTTCTGATCTGGTGGGAAGTAATGTGTATATGATTATTAGAAGCCCTGGTTACCATGTAAAGAAGATGCTTTGAGTGCTTCTGCCTCAGACATCCTAGTGAACAGAAAGAACAGATCCTCCACTGGCTGCTGATGCCATTCTTCAGAGACAGTGACGGAGAGAATATCGAATGAGGAGTACTCTATTCTTTGAGTGAAGAACTCCTTGTATGTTTTATTTTTATGAGATTGAAACTTTGTTTTATTAGAAGTAATTTGATTTTGAACACCACCATTCAACCAATATATGATCCTTGGGCGAAAATTTGTTTGTTTGTTTTCCTGAAATATTTTTTCCTTGTATGTTTTAACATTTAGTCACATTTTAGGGAAAAATGTATGTCAATTGAAGGAAAACTTTATCATAGAAAACAGTGTTATTTCTACATATACAACATTGCATGTGGACAATCAGACATAGAAATGTCTATGCTATGCATGGATTGTATGTATATACAGTCTTGGAAATACACATCTAATGTTATCTAAGTTTGATCCATAATAATTTTCACTACTTACCTCTAACTTATCATCAGTATCTGTGATTAAACATTTATTCCCTTCTTATGGCTGTAAAGGCATGCCATCGTGATTCTACTGTGCCATTCCCTAGTTCAGGCTGGCTAATCAGCTGAGTCAGTACCCAGCTGGGTTCTCTTGCCTGCTTTGATTTCACAAAGTCATTAATCTCATTCCCAACTGAGTCAAAACATTTCCAATGTCAGAGAAACAGAGCCTTTTCATTTCTAAATCAGAGACGAACATGTTCTTTTCAGGGCATTCAGATTGAGAAACTTTATCTTATAGAGCTGGTATTTTTGTCACAAAGATTTAAAACTCTTCATCATCTTTGGGTTTGATTTTCTGCAGCCTTGATCATTCAGGAAAAAAATTCTATTATCTTTAATCTTTTCTTTAGCTTTCATGTCGTTTATGTCCAAGTTCTTATTAACTCCATTGATAATAAAAGAAAATATATAACATTCTGTACTTTGTATTACAAATATATAAAATATATAAAAATATGATCCATAAGTACAGCTTATTGACATACAAATACAAACATACCCTTTCATCATACACATGCATTTATATAAATACACACATGCAAATATTCTCATATATAAACTTATAAAAATTAATTTAAATATCATATCTACAAATATCCTTCATGGATTTTTTCTTTATTCTTTTTGAAATTTTCCAGTGATCAACAATATATTTATATTATCTTGTAGAACAAATTATGGATAGGTGTAGTGTTTTTTATTTATATATGATAAAAAGAACAGAGTATGAAATCCCAAGTTTTGATTTATGAAAGCTGTGATTTGAATACAAATTACAATTTTTAGTATATATATCTTTTCATAAGTTCACCATTTATCAGAGGCATTTCTTCATAAGATCACTGGTGTATTGCTATACAAAATGTATTGAAATACATTTTTAATAATTTTGTTTTAACTAGGAAATAAACTTCAATATATAGTAAATTATTGTAAACCTAACATTACTACCTATACTGGTAGATAGAAAGCATGATTTAAGAATTTCAAGTAAACTGATAATAAATACTATGAGCCCATTAGGCAATCCTATGTATTTATTGAGTGAATAATGTAAACAATGAATTTTTTCGTATAGCTTTATAATCAGAATCATACACCAAGGTAGGGAAAGTAATCTCCAGTGCATTGGGAATTGGAGGATCAGAGAACTTAGGTACCTGCAAGAACCCTAGGTAGAGGTTGGATTGGACCATAAGTTTATATGGTTTTCATTTATTTGTTTGAAGTTCCAAAGTTGTTGTCTTGTTCCATTTGTTGTCTTGGTTTAATGAATTTGTCCACAAATCTTGAGGTCACTTGGTAACTTTTTTTCATTTCACTTCCCTATGTAGAGAGAGTATGTGAATGTTTCATCATGTATGAGTATGAAAATTAACCAGACAAGCCATAACAACGCTCTTGTAGCCACCACTGTCCAACTAGCAGAAGTCTCATACGCTCCCACCCCAACCATAATTCTTTATTTTTGAGTTTGAATGTAGAATACTCTTCCAATAAGTGAATTCTTTTGTGTATTTTTTATGTCTGTTCTTATAATACAATTGCAGAATAGTTGTGACATTAGCCATATGGCCTCCTAAACCTAAAAGATCTATTATTTGGACCCTCATAGAAGAATTCAACATCTACATGTTTAAGATCGTCACTTTGAAATCAGGTACCCAAATGTAGATCAAGATGTGACAGTATACTTATAATCATAAACAAAACACAAGCCTCTTTAAGACTCATTTTCATTATGTATAAATTAAGATTGATAACAGTATCTACTAT